ATAAACACAGAGTTTCAACACCAACTTTCCTGTTTATGCTCCCCACACTGTTACACTTGTCTCTTGGCATATGCTCCATCTGGCTGGGGAGATGCATCTGCTTCATTCTGCTGCAGGCTCTGCGTGTGCAGATGAGCTCTGCGCGCTCACTCCGAGCTCGGAGCTGACAATCCCATCGCTGATGCTATATATGTCTGTGACTAAAGAACACGTGTTGCTCCTGGAACAGCGCTTCATTAACATTTTGTGAAAAGGCAGAGAGATACAATGCCTGGCTGGTATTTTAATGCAAGATGATGCACCGAAGGCAGCTTCTCTAAGACTCAGCTGGCTTTTTTTTCCAGCACTGTAGGCAGCAGCAGGTACATTTACCTGATTTCTGTCCTGTTTCTGTTCCAACTCTGACATGACCACTACCACACCAAGCCATCGCAAGTGTTACCTCCTATTAGAGTCAGCATTTTCCACATTTGGAGATTTAATACAAACATCCAAATCGCTCGCTGTAACTGACACAAAGAAACAATTCTGATTATTCCAATGCAGCAGTCCTCTTGCAAGAATGAATACGTTTACAGTAATTACAGGATATAAATTGGGACAGATTTTTTTAATATGCTTTTTAGTGACTATATTATAGATTGTTGCATATTTCAAGGACAGCCTAAGCCTCATACAGCACATCATACCATGCTGATAACAGCATGAAGCTACACAGTGCAGAAGAGGCTCATTAACTGATACCTCTCCAAAATTCTCATAAGCGCAGATATCAACCGACAAAGTAGGTCACAGTTTAGACAGGCTCCTAAAAAAAAAATCAAATCACCTTGGTTTGATGAGATGATATGACAGAACACGTGCAAGCCACCCACCGCCAAATGTAAGTGAAATAAGCTCCATCCTGCTGTATCAAGGAATGGCAAAATGTGGAAAAGAGGTAAAAGGCTGAACTAAACAGGCAGGATGAGCCTGTCTTCAGCCCTTGACTCCCAGAAAAAAGTGAGGCTGGAAGAAAGGGAACAACTGAACAAGTGCTGCTTTCTGAGGCTCTCTCAAGGGGTGCCCTACACCAAAGAAGACTGAGTATGAGTGAGAGCCTCTTCACCTGCTTCTTTTCCTTGGAATCAAAAAACCGATCAACACTCAAGGTCTCAAATTGTCTTTTATACATTAAAACACTTTGCTGACCATATGGACACAGAATCCTCAAACTGACATTCTTCCCACTTTACAGAACCACTCCTTCATGAAAAATAATTACTTGCCAAGAATAATGTGTTACAAAAAAAAGTCCACAAACATTAAAGCATGAAATGCTGTAACACCTATGGCAAGTTCTTCAAATCATAGACTTCAGTGTGACAATCTTCAGCTATGCCACTCTGGCTTTGTAAAACTAAACACATGATCCTCATATTTCACTAATTCAAAGCACACGCCGAATGAAAATTTCACTTTTTTCAATATCCCTATATGCTTCATCTAACTAGTGAAAGAACACTCGTTTTCACTCAACTGTGAAAAAAGACTAATGAAACGTTATTATACAACAAATCAAAGTGTCTCTATATCTGATGGGAAAAGGGTCATAATCTCCAAGAGCAAGAAACATCAGAGCATTTTATTAAGTGATAATTCATAGTTCCGAAATCAAATGAAAAGGTTATTTTGGAATTTCAACAGAAGATACACTTTTTTCTTTTCATGAGACTTAAAGGAACCATTACATTCACCAGCTCTTCAGCAAATGTCTTTTATTAAAAGGTCAGGAGATCAGCAATCATAAGCAAAGCTCCCCTGTCCTCACCAACATCAGCTATGTTCACCTTCAATATTTTAGAGAGATGCAAAAATTTATCTAAAAAAAAATCCTGTTGGACCAATTGTGCCTGATCCTGATAAGGGAATTTTTTCACAGACCTGTGTATGCTCTGAAGATTGAGTGTTTCAAACAATCCAATTTTTCCTATTCACCTCTGTCTTCTAATGCTGTAAGGCAGATTCAAATAGCAAAGAAGTCGAAGATCACAGAGGTTCAGTCCCAGCTCAGAAATGACACACAAATTATCCTTTAAAATTGGTTAGAGGCCAAAAAGGGGCAATGAGGAGGCATTAACAGAAATTAAAAAGAAAAATGGGACCAACAACACCACACAAAAGGGACAAGAAAAAAAAATAAGAACAGGTACAGGACAGCAATAGAGCATTCACATCTACAATAACATGTACAGTGAAAGACATAAGGGCATGCATAAAAAAATAAATCTAGTATTCATTTAGGATGCCAGTGCTCTCCCTCCTACTATGTTTTCACACAAACGTTCCAGCAGCAACAGAAGATACCAAGCTCTGGGCATATAAACGCAATTCCTATGCCAAAATTGAACAGGAGGCAACGATAAGGGGAAGATGTCTCATCAATTTCACTTAATCATTTACAACATTGCCATCTACCCAGTCCTGGAAATAAGTTACAGTAGATTTGTTTCTTCCTTTAGACAGCTTCTGAGCTGTGCAGAATTAGTTCTCTTTCTAGCACAGAAATAAAAAACAAATGCTCTTGTCATGCCTATCAGGACCAGGGTGGGTCAAGACTAGTTTCATGGTGAGCTTACATCAAAATACATACCGTTTGTCATATTCAAGGAGGCAAGTGAATTTCTAACGTGTTCACGTTAGATATATACATCAGCTATAACGCTAGAAAATTTAATTACTTATTCTAAATTGATTTAGTATGCATTTGACAGATTTGGGGGGGGGCTATTTTTTTAATTTGTTCAAATATTATTTCTATACAGGCACAAAAAGAAGAGAAGCCATTGTACGTCCTTCTTTCAGAACATTCCCAAAATGCTCTTGCTGTAACTTCATCTCTATTGTGTCACGAGAACCTGTCAATGGTGACACGACATGAGGCAGTGAGCTTTCAGCAACTCGCCACTGCTTAAACACAGGAGCCTTCCCTTCCCCTCCCCACCTCATCTCTTCTCCCATGCTCCTCCCTACCCACGCTGTACCTGTCATTGCACCTGTGCCAAAGCACATCATATTATCCCCCGAACCAATGCAGCTCGGTTGTAAAGCAAAAATGTAAATAGTTTTCCACTGAGAAAGAGTTTTTTGGGTTTTTTTCTAAATTAAAGACATTATTTACTTAGAGCAGGAAGAAAACCATCCAAACTCAACCATGAATGACATCTCTCAATTGCCTGAAGAACAACGGCTAACAGACTACAAGACTACGACACGGGCAGAACAAATCTGAAATGCAATCAGATGAAACTGCAGAGTACTTCTCTGAAATACTGTATGCTTTTTTTTTCCCCCCCTGGAATCTAACAGAGAGAAAACATCTCTACTTTACACATATTAAGCTTGTAAATACTTCATCCTACTGATTCAACTTTCCCATCCATAAGATAGCCATAAACCTAAGAACTTATTTTCCTTGCAAAAAGTACACACTCCTCTCTCTGGGGAGTACCCTCCCTTGGGTACTAGCTGCATTTCTTAAATGTAGTTGCCAGAGGTCAAACACTTGACACTGGTTAAAAACAAACAAAACAAAACCATTAAAAAAAGACAACTACAAGTAACCTTGCATAGAAATTATTTTGGAAGTTCTTAGGCCTCATGATGTAAAGAAGCACATAAACATAAAGTCATAACATAAAGAGGCCACAGATGCAGCACAAAAATCAGCCGGGCTGCCTGACTTGCTTACTTCCCCATTTCAAATTCACATCTGTCGCAATCAAAGGCTCATCTTGAAAGAATTAGGTTTTCTCTTCCTCTACAGTGGCTATTCTTTACTTAGACTAATCCAGTGACTAAGTAATACTCCTTCAACTCTTCAAAGCTTCTATTATCCCTCTCATTAGTACTCAACGCTGAAGACAGGAGTTGAGGAGGTTTTCTCTCTGATCATAAAAGGCAGTTGACAAATTAGCAGAGAATCTTCTCAGAAAGAAACAGAAGGCATTTGTCTGTTTCTCAGTTTTGTCAATCTGATTTTTGCTTGAAAACTTATTTAGTGGATCAGCTAGTATCCTCCCTGTACTCTGTGGTCCCCTTGGCAATGGGCTCTTCAGCTACACAAGGCTAATCACTATTCCTAAATCATTCCTAAAAAGCAAGGCATTTGTTCAGAAGACAACTTCAGAATTTAAATTAAACCCTTAAGTCAGTCACCTGTTTTGGTCTATTTACAGGACTACTGGAGATGGCTCTTATCTGAAATGCAGTCACAGTACATAAAGGCTCCAATTGCCAAGAAAATACTTGATTTCTACTGCACCTAATTTAGAAATTATGTACTGGAAATAGTTTCTATTTAAAGCACAAATATAAAAAAAAGTAGATGAAACTAACACCTTTGAGTAAACATATTCATGCTATCCTATTACTGCAGAAACTGCTGCCATTCTACTGCTATGTTTTAACTGACATACAGAGCGACTGGACAACAAACTTATTTTCCCCAAAGATTCACGTTTTTGTTGGGGATTTTTGGCTGAGCAAGCAGCAGCCCTGGTTGTGGCTGATGTGATCTCCGTGCAATGACTGACTAGTAAAGTGGTTACCACCGCAGAAGAAAAAAAAGGGGCCAACCACAATAGTCTGTGTAAGCTTAGGGCATTCTTTGGACCTGATCCAATTGATTTTTCTCTACAAAACCCCTGAACACTTTCCCCTTCCCTCCCCCAGCACAACCACCACCTTTCACACCTCTATTTCCATTGCCAAATATGGTTGAAATGAAGCATGTTTCCCAGAAGCTGGCAGGGGGTGCAGGGCAGATGGGAAAGCAACGTGGCTGCAAAGATGAATTATTGCCTTCAAGAAACCAGACTAAAAGCAGTAGTTTACATTATATGACAAGGTTTTCAAGTTATTGAATACATTTGGTTAAAATACTTTAAAATACTCTATATTGCTCTACATTTGAAGCATTAAGGAGATAAGAAAAACGATGCGTCTTTTCAAATTGTTACCTCAACGATATCTGAGTTGGTTCTGCTTTCATGGGGCTCGTTGTACTCTGTGTATTTCAGTAGAACTTTGTCCATATCAGTGCTGGCATACTGAAAGAGTTTGTTAGAGCTGTTAAAAATGATGAGTGCTATTTCACAGTCACAGAGTACACTCAACTCATAGGCCTTCTTCATTAATCCAAACTTCCTCTTTGTAAAGGTGACCTAGAGAAGAAAGAATAATGATTTATTTTTTTAAAAAAGACAGATGACGTGAGTTAGAAGGACTATAATAAAGCATTCAAGGAATATGTCATTTCTTTATACTATTTACTCCTAGTAATAATTTTATTGGTATTAAACCATCTAATCAGATTCACGTATACTTAGTTATTTCCTGCCACTTGGGAACATCATGAAACAATTTTTCTGTCCAGCTAGAACAGACCATCACGGAGCATTTGCCCATCGAAGAACGCTGAAAAGACACTTAGCTATAAAAAAACCCCATCAAATTATGAAAAAAAAGTTTTAAAAACTCTTTCCACAAGATTTCAGTTAGTTTAAGTGTATAAGAATATCAATGCATACAACATCAAGCTGAATCAAACACAGGTCTGATGCTAAGGCCAACTTCTCTTAAAGGACAATATTTTTATAAATGTCCTCTTAAGAGGTGCTTAACCTACTACTATGAAGTTAATGTTCTAAGATCTTTTAAATAAAGATGCTATTTTGGCTCCAATCTTTCGATCTGAGCTTCAGTGCTGACTGGAACACCTCTGTCTACAGCTGTATTCACCCCCCACATTACAAGTCCTAGCATACGCCTCTGTGACAGGTACGTGGCCCCAAGTGTCCTACATGTTTAACGGACACCAGCCCGTGTATTTTTGCAAGTGGGAATGAAGCAAAACACAAGAAGCAATCAAACCTGTCTTATGGGTTTCTAGAGAGGAATATGGTAATTACCCAGATATACGTCAAGTTCTTGGAAGAAGGATGGGAAAATCCTTTGTATACACACCTCAAGCCATTTCTTCCAGAGATTAGTATCTCTCACAGATTAGTTTTTTAATACTACCCATAATACAAAATGCATACTCTCCTTTCCACCACACGGTCTCAGGGGGATGGAGACAGACATACTAACAACTCTGCACATAGCATGCCGACAGGGATTGTAGTATTAAAACAGCACAAATGTTTGCGAAGGTATCGTGGACCTGAGACTCCTCTCCATCTGTGTAACAGTACCCATGTCCGTTAAAAAAAATTAAATACAAAAATGTGTTTTAACACGTCCTCTGTGCCTATGTATTATATATTTAACCACATTGTGCCTGTGATACTGGAAAACCTGGATTGTTAACACTTAGCCACAGCAGGAACAGACATAATAAACAGGAGACTTAGAAAGAGGAGAATATGGGAGGTCGGGCGTATTATGGCAACCATAGTTCCACCTCAGGTTTTAGCTTAGAAACCGCTTAGGGGTTAAAGACCACTAACGGCAGAGCCTTTTGTGAGGATTGGATAATCTTTGTTCAGATGAAAAGGGAGTACTTACCAAAACTTTTTTATTCAAACCTTTTAAATTATGTTTGGTGAGCAGCTCCATTAAGATACAGCACTATCTCTGAAACAATTTGATATGAGAGAGCTGTAACACGTTCAAGGTTTGACTAGCGTAAGCAAATCTCTCTATGTATTTATTGTTTAACAACTACAATACATTTGTAAGACAAGATGCAAAAAAAAAAATCTGACAGACTTTACCTTAATGCATCTTCTGTTAGTATTTTATTTTCAGTTACCAATTCAACAAGTTGACCAACTACAAATGTAGGTTTTACTGGGCTGTACTTTTTCCAAATTCAGGTGGAAATTTTACTATCCACATGGAATACAATACAGTCACTTTTTAAAAACAGATCTTGTGTAACATGTCCTAGAAGTTTTGTCACTTTTCAATGACTTCTTCAGAACACTTGGGATTTATTTATCCTATCTTGGTAGGATGTTAAGAATTACTTTGCCTGGAATCCTCTGGGGATTTGGCAAAATGGTGGGTTGTTTTTTTAAATGACTATTTTTCTTCTGATATTTGAACTGCAACACACTTGAGATTGTTACCCAAGTATGAGCAGTATAGACAGGTATTACTATTTAGTGTTTGTTAGGAAAAAGGCATTATAAACAAGAAGACTGTGTGCTATGTTACTTTGAGAAGTCATTAAATGAGAAGACTGAAGGCTTGCTTCCACTGAGGACCTGTACGATCCTGAACAAGGGATCTTACCTTCTCTTCTGCAATTTTCTCCTTCTGATCTCTTGCAAGACTATTTTACTTGTGAGATTCTCAGCTAGCATCAATTTCTCACTTTTTGTATTTGGACAGTGCTTAGCCCAAACCCCACTACCCCTGGAGTCCAAACCTTACACAGATTATTATAAACTCAGTTTTCATTTAAGAATTCAGAAAGCAAAATATTAATCCTGCAAATGTATCAGGTTTTATTTTTCCCTTGACTGTTAGTGTGCTATTTAGGACCACAGAAAAAACAAAAATATGTACCTTTATTGCTGGCCAATGGCTTCCTCAGCACTATTCTAATGTCACTTATAAAAAAAAAATGAGTGAGGAGGAGAAAGGAAAGGCAGCAAGATCGAGATCCTTTGATATCCAATTTACTGTACTTGATTCTCTTCGGCTTAATGAAGATAAACGTCCTACAGCTCATTCAAGCAGATAAGACTGCTTAATTAATAACACAATGACAGTCTCATGACAATTGCAATCCCCCAGAGCAATGGTCTCTATTTTCTGTTTTGAGCTCACATACAATCCCATCAAATAAGATGCTTCTGACAAAACAATAGGGTTTTTGTCTCACATAAGTTACATGAACTTGCTTTGCAGACAAAGACTTATGCGTTTCTACTCATATTTTCAAATAAAAAACCTCTAATTGCCACATGAAATATCTGAACAGGACATCACATGCATATTCACAAGTGACCTACTAACCAGCTATGCATGCCACAGAAAAACTGACAGAACACAACTTTCCATTTGGCGAAACAAACCCTAAATCTCCTCCTTATCTGGGTCAATGAAAAAAAAGTAAATTAATACCTCATAAATATTCAGGGCATTTTAGTATGTTAAAACTATATACTAGTTACCAAGACCACAGGACACTAAACCAAGATGCAGTATGATATCACCTCTGAGCTTCCACAGAGAAAGGATATGGCAAGCCTGATCCCATTTTTAAGTCAGAGCTTAAACCCTCTTCCTAGTCACCAAAAAGCCTAAAAAAAAATGCTAGCCAAAGAACAGCCAAAACCAAAACTTCAGATTGAATCCTCGTATTTTGCTTCAGTGACTGCGATGGTACAAATGGGCTAAAATCTGTTACAAAGGCACTAATTCTCCTCCTCTCCATTGCTGCAACCTGAACAATGAGATGAAGACTGAAAAAGAAAAAAAAATACACCAAAGTCAAGGCATAAAGATATTTGCATTTCAAGCAGAACAAAACCAAGGTTGTCCAGCTTACTCCATATAAGCAAAAAAAAGAGGAGGGGGGATCATTTTCCACCCCTTCAACATGCCTGAAGTTCTAGAGCAACATTTGAAAGAACTGAAGCATTTAATTCATTCAGTTTTACTACATGTATGTAAGACATTTATCTACATCAAACATACAGTCACTGCGTGATTAAAGCTGTTTAAACACAATACTTGGCTTTCTCCCAAACTCCAATAATACTTTTCTTGCTATATATAGTCTTCTCAGAGTTTGCGTTGCTTTAAAGTGACACGGGGAAAAAAACAATTCCGATTCCACAAACAAAACAATGGGCTAAGAGCTGATGTGTCAGCAGCGAGAGAGTCGCACAGAATTCCGACACTGCCCCAGCATCCCACTGGTGCTCAGGAGAAGGTAGAAAATCAAATTAAACACTAGGAAGGGAACAGAGAATCAACATCAGTACACCGCTATGTAAGTCCAGGTTTTGCACGCACCTTGTGCGCTGTGAAGTTCTGGGTCCCTTTGCCACCCAAAATAGCGTAGCAATACTCAAGAAGGTTTAGGCAAAGCAGCAAAAACGGTCAAAGTTCCGTAGAAAAGCTAAATAACTAGCACAACCAGAAGCATAAATGAAAGGCTGTTTCTTGAAACAACAGGTCACAGATCTGTAGCAGATCCCAGTGAAAAGATGTAAATGCTGCAACTTTCTAAGGGCTCAAAGGGTAACCAAACAAGTTCATTGGCAGGGGGGCAGGGAAAAAAACAACAACAAAAAAAATCCATTAATGGTTACTAAATATACGGAAACCACATCCAGCTCAGGAAATCCCTGAGCTAAGAATAGCTAGAAGCTGGAAGACGATTACAGAGCAGTGTAACATGTGCATCTCCATCCTACACTTACTTGCTTATGACCATCACCGGACAAAAGACACTTACCTACGGGCATCTTTGGTCTGACCCACCATGGCTGTTCTTAAAGACCTTAAGTCATTCGCACAGTACTTCTCCTTAAAAAAGGCAGCTTCCAGACACCCCACTATACATTTCAATACCCAATTACAATTTTGTTTTGTACCTTGTGTAGTAATTTAGAAGCTAATAGGAAAAACTTGTACAGAGTCAGCAGCTTTTGGTGCTTTTCAAGGTTTTTTTTATCAGGTCAAGAGCAGCCAAGAAAGCAGCTTTACCTAAAACAATGCACTTTGAAGCACTCTTCCATTTTGACTGACAATTTTTAAAGACTGTTGTAGCAGACAGCTCTTACAAGGCATATAAATCAATGCTTTGAAATAGAATCATGTTAACAAAATTCACTATGATACCCAAACCACTGTAGATCACTGTCCACAGCTATGTCAGACTTCTCTGTCCAAAAGGCTGCAGCAAAGCCCTTCACTACATCCTTCTCAATTTTTCAGCCTTTCTCTATCTTCTTTACTAGTTTTTCCTAGTAGCTATCAGATCAAGTAAGGTGTCTGTTTCAACACAATCCTGCAGTCTACTGGAAGCACAGACTAGGACACCATTTTAATAGGAACAGTAGGTTTACAGTGAGTTTGACTTACAGCTGTAATTGATGTTACTTATAAATAATAACTTTCCTTCAAACAGTAATAAAAGCAGCGAGATATTCCTTATTTGTATTCTGGTAATGCCATCTATAGATACATGAAGACAAAGCTCAGCTTTAGAGGAGTGAATTAAGATGAATGTATCCAGTTTCCATTCATTTTAGGATTACTGATCAACTCATTCACACAGACTCCTTGTTTCTCACCTGTCTGTTCCGTTCATCCATTATTCTTGTGATCTGTATTTTCTTTCTCCCCATTTTCAGCCTCTTCTTTCTTTCGCTTTGCAATCCAGAAATACACTAATCCAAGAAATGTCACTCTTCAGTATTCTAACACATGATATAGTTTTCTTTTACTTTGTCTTCAGCTTGAGAACAAGTTTCTATTTCTTCTTATAAACACCTAAAAAATAAAATTTTGAAAAAATTCATTTACAAGTTAAAGAGGAAGCATCACTAAACACATTTGTAGCCACTAAGTGCACACATAAAATACAGTTCAGTGAGGAACCAAATATTTTCATTAGACAATATACTACATACTTCGTTCCCATTAAATATTCCAACTAGTCTGCTAGATTCTACCTAGACACTACAAATCTAAAATGACTAATCATTTCATACATTTTCAACAGTATGCCTTAAAAATTTACAGTTGTCAAAAGGGGTATTGTTTATTTTGTAAAATTACCATCAAGATAACTAAAAAAAAGCCACAAGAATATCAAGTTTCTGTTTCTAAACTGAATTACATCTCATTTTTTACAACAATATTTGGGGTTTCACTGGGAAGCAGGACGGAGAAGGAACGAAAGCGTATCTCTAGTTAAAAAGACTAAAGACTACAGAAAATATTTTTGCAACAGAAGTATTTCACACTGACCAAGGCACCAATGAGTAATGAAAACATTCACACAGTTTCTCTCTACAGAAACCTCTAAATTATACCTTGCCAATAACCAACTACCAGTGCAGCACTTGTCTCATTTTGCTATACTGTGTGCAACTTGAGAAGCCAGCGTGCCGTTATAGTATTTTGAACTGGTACTAATGCAGCAAACGGACTTGGAGAATACCAGTAGTTAACAAGCTTTAAATGCATTTTTGGCTAAAAAAATGCTAAGTCATATTCCAAACACACTGCTTTAACTGCAGGGTACTATTAATTCCACAAAACTGGAGAACAACTCTAAGTAAATAGCCTCCAAAACATCAACTGCATACTGGAATGCATAAACATGAAATAGGTACACCTTATTCTATCACCACCTAATACCCATTGAAATAAAAGGGTAAAAGCAGCGACAGTATTAGCTTATAACCTCTCTAACTTTCCAACCCATAACGTCTTTTGAAGTCAAGCCTTGCATATTTTACTACGGGTGTCACAACGCCACATCCTCGAGGCCATGTGTAGAAGGTGGTGCAACCCCATCACCAGCTGACAGGTAATAGGGAGAGACAGCAAGAGCCGATTAGTCCCAGGCTGCACTTCACAACACATTCAGTGTGCACTGAGGAAACAGTCATGACGGTCTGATGCAGCTAGGGAGAGGAAAAAATAATAATAATAAAAAAAAAAAAGTGGAAAAGCATCAACAAAATGAAGAAATGAAGGGATGTCATTTTATATTTACCTGATACCAACAAAGGGCTGCTTTGATACAACGTCATAAAATGCCCAAAACGGTATTCAGAAACACTATTCTGTGGAATTTAAGATCAAATCAACACTAAGGTTATGTGACGTCTGTTAGTCAAATAGGATATGAACTAGACATTGTTGATACATCAAAATGCTTCAAGAAAAAAATTTCTTCCAAGGTGCTGCTAAAGAGGTGTTAACAGCTAGCCATGGACCGATGAACAAGTCTAACCAACAGCACACAGCAAATACCTTACGTGGAAAGCAACAGCTGGCATAAAAATTTCTATCTTTTTTTGTTCAAAAGAAACACACAAAGAATATCCACTGGACTCTAAGCTTCAGTTCATAAAGCATCCAGTCTTAAGTCAGCTGCGCCACTGTCTTAAAAAGCAAAAGTTAAAAAACCCCACACTAAGCTCATGCTATGACCACACACTAAATTTAGCGTCAAGAAAATCTGGTTGCATTCCTTCAACATACCTAACGCGTGGGTCTCTCTAAGCAGCTCTGAAGATTTGTTTTCTCCTTCATGTGTGGCTTCATTTTTTAAATATACCATACATGATTGAAATAGTTCTCTGAACACAGAATTACTAGATTCCTTCCTCTGCTTTTAAAAGCACTTACTATCATAACTAGTACCTACTAATAGCTACCACATGTGAGACCAATGATACATCTGATCCAGCATTTTATCCACAGCTATTAGCAAGTATCACTAGGATGGTAAAAGATACACAGGAATAGAAAAAGCTTAGATCACTTAACAGCAATATCTTCAGACCATTTTCTCCAGATATTCAGCCATTTCTTTAATGAGGAACTTCTGGACTCATATGCACAATCTTAGATTTAAAGCTGTTCATCAAATCTTCTTTCATGAATATTACTTTTGAATCTGTGTGAATTTTTAGCACCTAGAAGCAAGGAGTTCCACAGCTTGGTGGTTACGCCTCAGAGTAGAAGACATACCCTTTCATTTAAGCCTGATTGTGCTAATTATATTTGGTATCCACAGATTTTTAATTAGACAAGGCAGTACACAAACAGTCATCTTCACCTTTCATGTTAGTCCTAATTTTGATGCTCCTATTTTATCTTCTTTCAGTTACCTTCACTCAAAACCTGAAGAATCCTACACTCCAGTCAACCACTTCTTACACAAAAGCCACTCTCTGGCCACTGACCCTGCCCTCTGCTCTGCCCTTTCAAGTTACACACTGTTTCTTCTGACCTGTACAGTGTGTACAGTAAATAAAGGATGAGGTGTATAAAATTTTATTATCATCTACCATGAATCTATACAGAGGCACAACAACATTTTAGGTTCAACTGCAGCAGACATATACCCAGGCAGATTTACTAGTTGTCAAAACTTTCCTATGGAAACAGACCTACGCTCTAGAAAATCAGTTTAAAACCCCTACGTGGGACCACACTTTCTTCATACAGTCCTAACTCATTCACTCAGCTCTTCCACCTTCTGTACCAGCTATTCAAAAGCCAGTCTATGCAAGGAATAAAATAAGGACTCATAGGAGAACAAGGTAGAGAGAAAGAGAAACATGATGTGAGATTATGCAATACGTACACTTAAGGATACAAAATAAGGGATGCACAAACGTTTTCCATGAGCTAATGGACGAAACATTAGCGGCAAAATGCTATTAGCTGCTCTACACACCATCACACACAGAAATGAGAAAACTGACAGTAATTTTCACCAACAGTTTTGGGGTGTTGTTTTATGTCTTAAAATTAGCACGACGTATTAACGCATAAATGCATCAACTCATCTCTCATTTACGACCTCTGCTTCACCCTCTTTAATCAGCTCACTGTTGCCTCTAATCTCAAGTCTGCTCAAGTCTTCAACCTCAAGGTTTTTTCTCACTTAGCAAATTCCAAATTCCTGTTTGCATGTCTGTCCCCATCTGGGTCCATCCTCTCTTCCCTCTCCACAGGTTGCTATGGACACCAGAAACCTGGCTTTGAAACACATTTGCCAAAGGCAACCCAGCTCTGAAATACCGCATCCTTTTCATTTCGAAGTCACACACAAGATGATTTTCAAAGCTAAGAACTGAAGCCTAAGTTTGGCATGAGCTTAGGGTAGAGAGGAAATTCACGTTAACTGCAAAATCAGAGCAAATCCTGCAGTAAAAAGCCATTTTTCATATGTGCTCAGAACATCCAAATAGGAAGTAACCACCAAGGACAAACACACGTAACATTTCTCATGGGAGCAACAACTTTTCCTTTTCCTAATCCTTGATCAAATCAGAGTTGCAGTTTTATTTTCCTTCCTGACTAGGAACAAAACGGTGTAAGACAAGATATACGGACTGTGTCCACTATCTGGTTACATCAAAAATGCAACCAGCAAAGTTCTAACCTTGATAAATCATACTCGCACTGCAATCATATTTGGGTAAAATTCTTAAGTCATAAAGTCATTTCATCCAGATCACCAACAAACTTTGGCCCAATAGCAGACATACATAGAGGTCAACACACGCTTATGTCTGATAATAAATGTGAAACTAATGTGACGTAACGTTAATGAAAATAAACTTCTACTTCCTTAAGTGACCGAATCAAATTACAGTTGCCAAAACTACTTCACATTACTTGCATGGGCACAAAGGAGCAAAATGTTTTTCTCTTATTTTTAGGCATTACACAAAACTGAGAGAAAGGAGAGAAAAAGAAGGGAAAAAACCCATGTGCTTCATGATTGGCTTCAGACAGAAAAATATCATCAGCTTGGATTAATAGCAAGTAAAATTAGTAACTGTCCAAGTAAGAGCCTCTATTATTGTATAAGAGTAAAATTTATTTCAAATTTTTGGCATTTATTCCCTTCCAATATCTATGAAAACACCACACTAAATCCTGAAAGATAACAGAAACATATGCAAAAATATACCCTCATGACTGCATATTTTCAGGAACTTGGATCAGTTCATTTCTTGTCAAGATTGCTTACAGTTTCATAAATAGCGAGAGATATATAACTTTAAAGCACGGAAACTGTATTGGACCTATTTAAAAAGATTCTTTCAAGGGTTCAGTGGAAAAAAAAAAAAAAAAAAAATCTATTTGTGCAGAGCTCCACAAGGTCTTGAAGCCTTCTGGCAGAACAGGTTAGGAAGAACTGTGTCAGAATTATACTCCTTCCATTTATTTTTCTTTTATTTTCCTCTGCCTTTGTTTTCTTGGAACTTCCATTTCACCATCACAGTCACATCTTACATTTGACAGTAACCATCTCATCACAGCTCATTCACTGCAACGCACACAAAGAAATGAGTGTCATGATGTCGGATTATTTGCATGATAACTCTCAAAAGCCACAGCTGCACGGAAACACAAACCTGTAGAGATGCGTCTTACACAAGTAAGCCTTAGGTAAGTAGCAGAGAATTTTTACTAAATCAAGGTTAACAGTTCTTCTTCCAGTCTTAAAAGGAACCTGTGCAGATATTTTCATAGATTTGGCCCCTAAGTACGAACTGATGAGGACAGACCACCCAACCAAATCCCAGCCAAACCGCACACTCATGGGCAATTCTAATTAACACTTTGTGGGCTTACTAAGCATGTGACC